ATAGACTATAATGAAAGAATATGTCAACTGTGTTTAAATGAGAATAGTACCCCAGAAATAGGAGATGAGTTTCACTATTTATTGACCTGTCCCTTTTTTAATCAGACTAGAAAATTATACATTAAACCTTATTATTTTAGAAGATGTAACATTCTTAAATTTAAAGAGCTACTTAATACGCAGTCAAAAAAGCTATGTACATTTATTAAAATTATTTTAGAAACGGTTAAACAGTAAGGAATCACATGAATATTTTCTCTGTAAAAATGGTAATATTGTCATAGAATCTGTACACCATTACTGTATTAATGTTTTCTTTATTCCATTTGCTTTTCCTTGTCACTGCTTCAGTTTTTATATATATATAAATATTATAATCCTTTTTTCTTAATTCTTTTTTTTGTAATTAATGCAAACTGTCACTTTATTGATACAGATTAACTCATATGGTCATTTTCTATTCTATTTTTTTCATAGTCAAGCTTTTTTTCCTTAACTTCTTTAGTTCTAGTTTACACTTTTTTCCTCATGTTGAATATAGGTCAGGTTTTGTTTTGTTTTTGTTTCATTAGATCTAGCACACTTTATTTTCTTATGTTGAATATAGTCATGCTTTTTTTCATAACATTAAAATACACCTGTCAATATGCCTATATAGATGTAGTTTATCAGTTGTATACAATCAAATTAATCCTTTTCCACGAGTACACAATAACTATGCAAATTCTTATTTAATTGATGTTTACATGTTCTACTTCTGTGAAGACACGTGACACTCATTATCAGGTTATGACATTTCTTAGTCTTCTGCTAAATTTGCTAAACTGATACTTTTTTGATCAAATGGTGAATAATTCCAGATGCTTAGAAACATTTTATATCCATCTTTCGAATATTTAAACTAATCATTCGTTGATAATCGTCTATTAATTAATTTATCTTACTTAACACATTTTACGGTAAGGCTTTACACAGCAGACGATTACACTACCTTTTGGGTATATAGCGCGGTTTCGATGCAGCGATTTAATTCAGGCTGCACAAATACAATACGAATAAACTCTGTTTCTTTTAAAAACAATATAAAATGGTGTTAATAATGTTCAAAATTCACATAACTATTAAAAAGCGTAGATTATTAAATTAGTTTTTAGCCACCCAATATCCGAAAATGGAACATTCCCAGACAAGAATTTATAGTCCTTTTCAAAAAAAAATAAATGGAGTAACACACTATCACTATTGTCAACCCCGTTAAGCAAACAATCTGTCACGTGACCTCACAAGGTATTTTTGTTCAAATGTATTATTCGCTGTATGCTCACATGCTTGTAAACATTGCTTGAGCTAAATAAAGTTTATGTTGTTGTTGTTGTTGTTGATAAAATCATATTCATCCGCGTAATTTGTGATTGTGCATTTATTGACAATTCTATTAGCCAACGCTATTTTCAAACTTTGAATGCGTTATTTGTTGGATACTTGTAACAAAATAAAAATATTTCTTTCTTTTAAATCGCTAGTTTTAAGCTGTTTTGAGAACTACTTGTTGTTAGGTTTGTTGTGAACTTCTGTGTCAGCGATTGAATGTCCGCTTTGTATTTACTTATTTTCGATCAGAAAATACAATAAAACAATATTAGAAATCTTCGACCATTCGGGAATTATTTTGCTTGAAAATTAATTCGCCTGTCTTTGACCATCTTTACGCAGTGATCTCCCCTGAATTTTTCGGCGTTAGTGTACATATAAAGGGAAGTAACCGCTTCAAAAAAGTGGACTACTTTCGGCGTTTGCAATTAACAGCATTAGACACTGAAATTTCGCTACCATTATATGTTTGGTCTGACGACCCAAACAAATAACAACCATAAAAGCGTAACCTTGAAATGACCAAAAATTTAAGAGGACCAATCTTACACTTGAAAAGTCATGGATTTAAGTGAATCTGAAATGCTATACCGTATTAAACAGAAGAAATTTAAAGAGAAATTACTTTAATGAATTAAAGATAAATAAAATTGTTTTAGAAATAATCAAAATCTGCCACACATATAGCTCGGTCGGTCAAGTTATGGTATGGTACTTTGAGGGTCCCGGGTTCGAATCCCGTTTAATCTGCACATTTTTTCTCACCCTGTTACAATTGGCGCCCAACTGCCTTGACTGCATTTAACTAAGCTCTGTATTACCGACAAACTTCAATATAGCCGAGAAGTAAATTATTATGGTTCAGAACTGTTCACTATTTAGAGGAGATGATGTGTAAGCAGCTTAATAGCTCAGACGGTAGAGCTGTAGTAAGGTATTCTGAGTGCCCCGGGTTTGAGTCCTGTTCAGGCTGCACATTTTTCTCACCCTCTTACTTAAGAATCTTGTGATAATCCTAAATATAATATATTTAATCAAACTGGACTAAAATTATTATTTTTTATATGCATTTAACATTTTAAAACTTGTTGCATGTAATAAAATTGATTAACTTGTATGAGTGATATTGGTGGAGTGACAATGAAAAAACCATATGTTCCTGTGTGTATGTATATTTAGAAAACAACTGTTGAATTATAGAAATTAAAAGGTAAATGAATTAACAAAATGAACAGGATTTTCACCAGAGGGCTTTGTAAAATTTCTACAAGGGGTAAAATACATATTTCAGGGGGCGTCCGTGGCCGAGTGGTTAAGGTCGTTGACTTCAAATAACTTGCCCCTCACCGATGTGGGTTCGAATCCCGACATGGACTTTGGATTTATTCATGTGAGGAAGCTATCCAGCTAGCTTACGGAATGTCGTTGGTTCTACTCAGGTGCCTGTTCGTGCCTGAAATATGCACGGAAGGGCACAGTGACGTCTTCCTCCACCAGTAAAGCTGGAACATCGCGATATGACCTATACTGTGTCAATGTGACATAAAACCAAAAACAAACAAACATAATTCAGTGTGTACATGTATTTGGTACCGTTGGCCTAGTGGTTTAGGTGTCTGCCTTCAGATTGTGAGGTTAAAGGTTCAAGCCTCCACAGGGAAGGTAATTAAATTATGAATGTTTATCATGGGACTCGTTCCTAAATAGCCGCTTCTTGAGCTGCTAGGTAGTTAAAATGAATGGTTACAAATTTATGTCCGCCTTGCGCCTGGCATATACTAATACTGGTAGGAGTTGGGAGGTACATGGTATGCAAGCAAAAGGTTTCTCATAAGTCAGAAATGGCTGGCCCTTTCAGTAGTGGTGACACTGTAATAAACAAGATCTTTCCCCTTTATATTTTATTTGGTATTTAACTTGTTTACAAAAAAGGCAAGTCCTTCATGTATAATATTATATTTATTTTATCACGGTTCATGGGAGAAAAAGTGTAAGCCCCTGGATAGCTCAGTCGGTAAGAGCTGTGGTACGGTATTCTAAGGGTTCTAGGTATGAGTCCAGGTCAGGTTGCACATTTTTCTCACCCTGTGACATTTGGTGCCCAATTTGGGGCTGTGACTGAATAAAGCTCAGAGTTAAATTCACATTGCTTTGTAACCTGAGAAATTTGAGGATGAATTTCAATATAGCAGGAAAGTATCTCAATAGCTTTCAGGGGAGTAAATGTATAAAAGGACGGATAGCTCATTTTGTAGAGCCGTGGTATGGTATTCGAAGGTCCTAGGTTCGAGTTCCGATCACGCTGCACAGTAATTTTTTGTTGTTGTTGTTGCTTTCTTCACTTCACTTTCTTCACCCCCTTGACTGTAACAAAACAAAATAATGGAAAAAAAAGAAAGTGGCGTCGATGGGTCACGCACAGGTGACAGTATGATTAAACGCCAAATTTAAGGCGATTGTACGCTAAATATGGGGCAACAAAATGATTTTTTATTGTCAGGGTTCAGAACTGTGCACTATTTAGTGGAGATGATGTGTAAGCGGCATGATAGCTCAGGTGTTAGAGATGTGGTACAGTATTCTGCGGGTCCCGGGTTCGAGTTCCGGTCAGGCTGCACATTTTTCTCACCCTGTGACACTTGGCGCCCAACGGGGGACCGTGACTGAATATAGCTCAGAGTTTAATTTACATTTCTCTGTAACTTTGTGAAATTCGAGGATGAATTTCAATATAGCAGGGGATCGAGTATGTCACGGTTCAGAACTGTTCACTATTTAGAATAGATGATGTGTAAGTGGCCAGATAGCTAAGTTGACTAAGAGCCGCGGTACGGTATTCCGAGGGTCCTGGGTTCAAGTTCTGGTCAGGCTGCACATTTTTCTCACCATGTGACACTTGGCGCCCAACAGGGGACCGTGACTGAATATTGCTCAGAGTTTAATTTACATTTCTTTGTTACTCTGTGAAATTCGATGATGAATTTCAATATTATGAGCAGGGGAGTATGTCATGGTTCAGAACTGTTCACTATTTAGCGGAGATGATGTGTCAGCGGCCGGATAGTTAGGTCAGTAGAGCAGCGGTACGGTATTCCGAGGGTCCCAGGTTCGATTTCCGGTCAGGCTGTACATTTTTCTCACCCTGTGACACTTTGCGCCCAAGGGGGGACCCAGGTTCGAGGTCAGGTCAGGCTGCACATTTTTCTCAACCTGTGACACATGGAAAAAATTGTCTCCCCTCCCTCATTTTATCTTTTTGTGTTGTTGCGGTTGAAGGGCCTATATTCACAAAATACTGGAAAAGGTAAAAAGGTGTGTGACAAATTTTTTTTTTTTTTTTGGAGAAGGTAATTACTTTTATAGATTATTGTTTATTATTTGTAAAAGTGTAACGGAAGTTCAACAATGACCAGAAATACGTTCCATTATTGTAAGAAATGCATCAGGCAGATAGTGACCTAATAAACTTTAGATATTTTCATGCAGCTTTCTGTAAAATGTCATTTTAATCGTGCGTCTTAAAATAAAGTAAACAAATAGTATGTATAACAAATGGTCATAAATTTGGTAAATCATTTGTTAAAGAAGGTCCTTCTTAAATGTTTTTTATCAGTCTATATTTAATTATATTTAAACTTTTAAAGATAAATTTGCATGTATTTCAGCGTCAGCAAGTGGTGGCAGCTTCAAGAAGAAAAAGAACATCCGATATTCGGAAATGAAACAGCCACCATTGATCAAACAGTCGGAAGGAATTTTATCTGAACACCCAGATGGTGGTCAAATACTGAAGGTATATTGAATATATTTAATTATTTATTCATGTTTCTAAATTTGATATGAAGCTGAAGCCATTTATATAATATTTACTGCACCTGTATTGTGTCAAACACTTTTTTTCAGTCCTCTTTAAGTGAGGTTAAACGTGTATGTAGTTGTCTTTTAAGGAACCATTTTCAAATTGGTAACCATGATTTAAATTGATTAATATATCAGCATCCACTGTGACGAAGATAATTATCTCTATGATGAGCTGTTTGAGTTAGCATGTGACTTTGTTCCAGTTACAACTAAATAGGATTTTATACTGATAATTAGGAGAAATAAACAATATAACAACTTTGGTACTCTCGATAAAAAGTTGTAAAAGCCTAATTTGAAAATAAAATTAATAATTTAAACTCCCAAATAATTAGGAGATGAAAAATTAAATCTTAGTTAGAAGGTACGTTTTTATACAAACAAGAATTTGATTTCTCCTTAATAGTTTTTAAAACTTTCAATAAACATGCAAAGTCCTAATTAGTTTTTAGACATTAAAACGTCACACCAACACAGTAACGCGATTTTCCAGAACACCTTTTGAACGGGAACTTGAGTAGAACTGCAGACGTACCATAAGCCAGGTCGTCATAGCTTCCGCACATAAAATAATCCTAATAAGTTTAACCCACAGCAGAGGCGCAAGCAGACGGACACTAGTCTACTTATAAATTTGAAATATATTTAAAACATGCTTATTTCATGTACCTAACATGAAGCTTAGTTGCACAATGGTTTTAACATTTTATTTGCAAACAAAAACAACACTCAAATGAATTTGGAGAGATAACATGTAATGATGTTGCTCAGGATCGCCATTGAAACGGTACAATATATCACCGTAGGGAACGTGCTACAGTATCGCGTTTTCCGGTTACCGTATAGAATTTTCAAGATGGAGGATTATTTATGGGAAGACAGGTAGGTGATTTTTTATTCAGGTCCATACTACAAGTAGATAACTTTCTAAAAGATGTTTTTTGTGCTTTGCTTGTAAGGAACAGGATCCGGTATCTAGCCATATATTTCTTCAGACCCTGCATCGCAGATTTATCTCTATATTGTCTCATAAATGTGAAAATTTGACTGTTTGGAAATTTGAATCGAGAGACCAACGCATTTTTCTCACATTCCGACATTATTTAAGCATGCATACATAAAGTGAATCTACAAAACGTTAGTCCTTTGTGTTTAGAAACGTTTATAAAAGAAAACATATTTCCCTGTTCGTCAAATGAAAAAATAAACAATGTTACAGTATAAAGCGAGGTGATTTGTGCAGAATTACAGCATAGACCTAGCGATTTTGATCCAATTTTGTTACAGTTTATACCCAGATTTCGGTTACAGTTTAGATACTTAAAAGTTCGTGTTTTCATTATTTTTTATAAAATAACTCATACCTTTCTATTTAATACATTCTTGAAAGGTTGTATTACTTTTTTTCTTCAAAAGTTATACTTTACTATTTTCCTTACTTTAAGTTTCAATTTGAGAGTTTTTGCAGAATAAGTAATGTCCTATGTAAGGACTGTTTCCACAACAACAGTAAGTGTTATCAAATTGTATGGAGAGAAGAAAGATTATTGTTTGATTCCATTACACATTATAATAATGCCTATTAGTAATAAAATATAGAAAAAAACAGAATCCTTAACAGAAGTCCAACACGGAAAATATTAAAATGTTGCAGGCTCAATTTGATTGAGCCAGTTCATGGACGGTACGTAGTGGTAACTGCAAGCTACCGTCCACGCCACCTAGTACCGGCTTCAGCAGAATTCACATTAAACATGAGCTGGTAAACTTACGATTTTTTAAAACATCTGTAGATTTGTTCATATGGCGGTTATCATTGAACTTTTAATGTGACACGTTATTGCCATTCCATGAAAAGGGGCATATTACCCCCAGGTTAAAAATTGCGTGTGCCTTAAACGATAATACAATGAGTGAAACTAGATAAAATGAAATTTTGAGAGGGGATCGGAGGTTATAAAGCCTGCATACCACAGATAAGCTGACAAAAGACACAATTAAAAAGAGGCAATACCCTAAGGGTGATTAAACAGTATTTAAGTGAGAAATACTGCAACCTTAAAACTTATTTTAAGTTGAAATTTCCATCTACAATAATGTATTTTGTAAGTGTTTGTTTGGTTTTCTTGGATTTTAAGTTTCAACGACACTGAGGTCATGTGAAAATATTCCTGCTTTAGTGTAAAGAAAAACCCCAGATACCCTTTGTGAATCAGTTGAGACACGAGTAGGCACCTGACGAGAACCACCGACCTTCCGTAAACTAGCTTGATAGATTCCTAACATACAAAGAATCCAAAGTTATGATGGGATTTCAACCACAGCAGTAAAGGAAAGATGATTTGAAGTTGGCGGCCTTGTTCCGACTCTGCCACTATTATGTACCTCCATCAGGCTCACTGGAGAAGATATTGTAATTGTCTGACCTTATTTTAAACAATATTATTTTCTTTTTCAGAAACATGAAAATTTCTATACATGAAGTCTGAAATAAAAAACTTTTAATTTAATAATGACAAAATAATCTTGACTTCAGCAAAGAAGCATTCGAAATGACGCCATGATCATGATTTTATTTGAATTCTTTTTGGTTCGAGATGAGAAGGATCTTTAAACATTTTTTTTAAATCTATATTTTGGGTTTTCATATACCCGATTGCAACCGAAACCATTTGAATAACTTTGGTAGAAAGTCATGCAAATTTCATCACATTTACTGAGCGGGTGAGATCGCACACAAATGTGTACGACAGACGGGGCCAATAAGCTCACCAGTTGAGTTTCTAGAGATTTAAAAGTATATGTTTCATTCACACATTTTACCTAGTATACTAGTATATAGAAAATATCGAAATCTAAGCTGTAACCGAAATCTGGGTATAAACTGTAACAAAATCGGATACAAATCGCTAGGTCTTTGCGGTAACCCTGCACAAATCACCTCGCTCTAAACTGTAACATTGTTTATTTTTTCAAACGCATTCATCGAACAGGAAAATAGGTTCAACAGATCATTTACTTTTATAAACGTTTCCTAACATTAAGGGCTAATGTTTTAAAGATTTACTTTTTCGAGGCATGCATTAATAATATCGGAATGGGAGAAAAATACGTATGTCTCTCGATTCAAATTTTTAAACTGTCAAATCTGCATATTTACGAGACAATATAGAGATAAATCTGCGGTGCAAGGTCTGAATAAATAAATGACTAGATACCGGATTCTGTTCCTTACAAGCAAAGCACAAAAACATCTTTTAGAAACTAAACTACTTGTAGTATGGACCGGAATAAAAATCACCTACCTGTCTTCCTCTATCTTTAAAATTCTATACTGTAACAGGAAAACGCGATACTGTAACACGTACCCTACGGTGATATATGCCCAAATTCAAATCCATATGTGGGGACCAAAATGATATTTCAATTAACTGGTTAATCCAAAAGTTATTGTGTGGAAACTTTCCATTGACGGAACAATTTGCAATGAAATATAGCACAAAATACCCTATGACAAAAATTGAAAAACGGAAATAACTTTGTTTGGACATAATTCAAAGTAAATTCAAGTGAAGAAGGTTTATTCCAATAATGTTGATTTCATAAATAATTTTCTGGAAACGCCAATAATTAAAGTGTATAAATCTATCTATCTAAAGCAAAATTTATGTTTGGATTCTAAAAAAAGAATGCTTCCAAAATCCTTGTATGAAATAAAAATGACATAAATTGCATAAAAGCGAGTGGTGTATGCACAAAGTCATTGCCACTACTTAAAGAAGCAAAATACTTTTTTGCTCTGGAACATTTTATTCTGTTTACATACATTATTCATGTGTGTTAAAGAACAGAGACATTGTATGTTACTACTTTTTCGGGAATCAACCGTATAATAATGGAAACAATATAATTTCATAAGATATAGATTTATACCCTTTAAAATATTATTCACGTCGTTTCAATGAGATAAACGTTTAAACAGAAGCAAAGTTTATGTGGAAAATTCATGAATAGGAAAAAACATAGTAGAAGAAAAAGATGAACATTGAAGAGAAACTTTATTACTTTGAACATTAAAAAAACAAGTTTGTCAAGTTCATATCTTTATTGTCACCACATTGTTCAGATTTAATTTTAAACCAGTAATTTTACGCGCACAAATCACTTTCATTAACATTTGTTACTCAGATTAAGAAATCAATGCATTAAATTTATATGCACAAACTGATTAAGCAACTGTAATGTAGAAATAATTGTCTTTTTGCCACATGTTCTGGTGTAAATAGTGTCACTGTAATTCATAATATTTACTCATATTTCAATTTCAAACACAAGTGATATGTCCATTTTGAAATAATGCATTTATATCACCATGATTGATTTGTTTGATATGAAGATCAGCAATTGAATCAATGTTATTCAATGATAATAAAAAATCTGTTATGTCCAATTTGTTCTTCATCCACCACTGTTTCATGCACTTAACGAGTTTACATCATGACACAATCATTGACGACAATAACAGCACGGTTTGATATCTGTTGACGTTTTATCCCGGCTGGCCAATCTCAGCCGGAAATACCCCATAGGCTCGAAATAATTTTTATCTAACCACCCTTCCGAGCAATGCATTTTTTCGGTAATGGAATGCTTCAAACCCCCAACAACAACATTCCTGGTCATACCATCTGATTAATTGTAGCACGAATTTCATTAAACTCATTTTTGCAGACGCTCCAGTCTTTAAGCACAAACAAACCTTTTATCAATAGGTCAGAAGGTTTTAGTTTGTCACATGTCGACACCAGCATATCAACTATGTCATCGCTCAAACGACGATATTTTTTGTAATCCTTTAACCTCCTTATTGCAATCGTGTCTAACTCGTCATCGTCATCATCATTTATCAAACTGAGAACACAGCTGAAGTAG